CTCTTTTTCTTTGAGGTTCCCATCTTGGTGGCTTTCCTTTCGGCTTTCTTGGTTGCCCTGGCTTGTTTTGCGGCTTCATGGTCATATTTGACCTTCCAAAAGTGATCATCAGCCTGTGAAAAATGACAAGAGGTTATAAGCAGGGTATAATATAATAAAAATATTCATCAGAGGTTGGTGGCTTATAGCAGGAGCCGGGTTTTTCTGGCAGAAGGGGAGTAAGCCAAAGGCATTACTTATCACTGTGCCTTCTTTCAACAATGATTGGGTCGTGGCTTCTACCACATCCTCTGGTAAGTCGTCGGAGCTATGACGCATTGGGTCATCCTTTTCGCCGAAGTGCACATTAAACTGGGTCAGCGGCTTAATGGAAGTATTCGCTAGGTAACCCAGACTCGGACTAAGTCAATGCCGTCTAGGCCATTTCCCAGAAGAGCTTTGATTCTTCTAATGGTAGGGGCAAGCGACAGACGTTCAACAACAGTTAATTTATCCGGCAGCGGGTGGTTGGACTCAAGGCGCAGCGCGCGGAAGCCAGGAAGAGGGTTCTCCTCAGCCGGAGAAGTATCCTGGCAGTAGAACCACGTCTGGTTCCACTCCTTTGGATGACTCGGCAGCTCAGCATAAGGGAAAAGACAGTCTCTTCGCCGCTGAATTGAGATACCACCGAGTTCAAGACTGGGCCCGTTGGCACGTTCATTCTGCCGGTTTAAGTAGAACAGTTCTCTGAATAATGATATATTGGGTTCTTCTCCAAGATACACCTCGCAGAAGACTTGGAAGTTGCAGATATTTGACACAGAATTGGGCCCGATGTCTTGGGGTCTGAGATCAAAGAAATGCAACACATCCCTGAAGAATTTTGAGCCGGGTGGAGCAAAGCCCTGGGTCATGTGACTGGTAAATATGATTACTTCCCCTTTTTTGGGTAGAGGCTTCTCCTCCGATGGGTTAGGAGCACGACAGGACATGATTTCCTTCTTGGGAAGATGGCCGGATTTCACGAAGTCCGCCAAGATACTCTCTGTGATAGTGGACTTAACCCAGTTGCAGGTCACAGGAGCTTTAGGAGCTTTGGGTGCCATTATGTAAATTGGCCTATGACAAAGTAAGAAGATCCGGTTCAATTTTAACCCGGAAGGAATCTCCTAATTATTCAAGGTGGCGGCTTAATAAGGGGCCTAATGATATAAGGATGACTGTGCAACAATATTTAAGCGGCTACAAGTATCAAGAGCAGTTCAAGATCCTTCAGGTCATAAGGAGCAACTAAGGTTCTATGTCATTTATTTAAACCGAACACCTCGACAGTTGTGTTTAAGGGCATTTACCAGAAAGAAGTTTTCCGGGTGATAAAAACAAGTTTCAAAGATGATAGTTATTACTCTGGATCAAAATATTGCTCTGAAAGGAAAATTTTCTAGACCTACAAAAAGGGCAGGGAAGTTCATGCACTCGAAGAGGGTTTCCAAACAAGGGAAATGAGATCTATTTCTATGCAAGATCAACACACACAAGTACCGCAACGGTTCTATGTAGTTTTTACGATCTAAACAGGGCATTGGAGGTAAGAACTAGTGAGGGTTTGCGTCGGGCGATGATGAATGCCGACGAACTCGATAGTCCCAATGTAGATCTAAGAAAGGGAAGGAGAGGAACTCACGGATGCGGACGAGCTGCGGAGGTTCGCCGTCGATCTCTCGTCAGAGTCAGGTTGATGCAGCGGCCCGAGTCGGTGAAGACGAGGGGTTCGACGGCGGCGGCGGCGGAGCTTGAGAGGAAGCAAGAGGAAGAGGACGACTGGAAGAATGAAGAGTGAAAGACTAACCGAGATGGCGCGAGAAATGAGGAGACCCAAACATCATTATCCAGCGGCCCCGACGCCTCGATTCTCGGGATGGTCAGTAAAGGCAAAGATCCGTTGGAAGATATGACGGAGTAAAAATAAGTTTTATTGAAGATGACATCACGAAGACTTAACCCGGATCCAGATGATGACGTCATGGCGGGTTAAAACCTTCATGCAAGACAAAAGACTAAGGAGAGTTCCATGAGGTATTTTAAGATTGACATGAACAGGTTCAAATCAATCTAGGGCCTAATGTTGGGGATATAACTATTTGAGTAAACCGCCCAGGAGGGGCCGGTTTATGCAAAGAAGACTTACCAGAGAGAAGGCCCAAGACCAAAGCATGAAGATGGCGGTTCATAGAGGGCTTAAGGCCCACAGGCGACTTAAGGCCCGTTGTAGTAAACCGCCATAATGGCATGACTTTTATCATAAGGTAGTTTTAACTAGTCACCGAGCCGGACACTGTTATAAGCCGGCCGAGACTCTGTAGGCCACAGGGCGTCAACCCGTGTAAATAAGGGGATGACTTGCTGGCGGCTTATTTAGGGCAAGAAACAACTCATCAAGAACCGGGCATAGCGTATCTCGCTCCCTGGTCATCGAAACATCAATACCAACCCAACTAGACGTAGGCCTTACCTTCACTGTAAGGGGCCGAACTAGTATAATCACTCTCGTGTCCTTTGTCCCGATTAACCCCTTCAAGCTTCCTAGTTGCGATGGCTCCACAACTAAGTCCTTTCACGAGGACATCTGACGTGACAATTCCACGACAATGACCAATCTTTGGATAATTTTTTAATACCACCTTGGTCAACTCGTAAATTTCTTGAAACCAACACATGTACTTCAAGAAATGCCTATGGACAAATCCTTCAAATATAACTCAATGCAACCATTAGTCCATAGAGAATGTCATCAATTACCAAAACCACACATGGGGGCACTGCATGTCCTTTCACCTAGGTGCTCAACCCGGAGCGCAAGGTCGGATGCACCCAACACCACCATCCAAGTCACAAATGTGTCCTCGCCCCAACTTTTCTATTATCATTATCAACTTCCATGCGAGGTATGTAGCAGCTGCAAGAATTACATTCAAGGGAGGGTCTTTGCATCTTCATTTGTTACTGGATTACACAAGGGAAAAAGAACTTTTGCATTTAGTTCTATATGCATGGGTGATGTTATGTTTGGAGTCAAATTTGTTAGTTGTGGTGCTTCAAATCAAATCCACACATGAATTCTGAATTAACGATGTAAGTTTGTGTTAGTGGACTGGATTTTCTCTCATATTTTCCGGCAAGGTGATCTAAAGGCATCTCTAGCCGGTCCCTAATATCTTAACTCCTTATATGCCTCCTTATAATTTGAGGAGTTAAACGGTGGCTGGACCTAGCCGAACCCCTATATTTATCTCCTAATTTGTTTGACCAATTCTTCTTGCCTTTGTCACATATATGTCAAACTATTGAATTTTATTAATTTCATCAATCATTCGACTGACTCGAACTGAACATACCCAACAAATTAACCATAACCATGCATATTGTTTATATCATCAGCAATTCAATTCAATTAGAACATGCATAGAGTTCATCGAAAAGGTGTCACATCGATCAAAGTTTGATCCAAAATGACCACAAGATAACATGTCTTATGTCGTGGATCGGGCCCAACCAGAGGCATGCAACACGAACTCAAAAGGAAATCATCACCACCCCCCACGCCTCACCACCATCACCACCACAAGGCACCTCTGATTGGGCTATGATCTTCGAACGACTAAGCTCCCACTTCCTTGACGTGGCATTCATCGTGCATGGGTTCATGAACATGATATCCCGCTCTTCGGCCTTCTTCTCTTTTGCAAGCCTCTCCTCCTCGAGAGCAATCTTATGCTCCTCTGCCGCCACCTTCCTCTCTTCGGCTTGCAACATCCCCTCCTCCACACTATAAAGGACAGCAACAAGCTCAAACCCCAAAGTCACAAACCATCACCAATGTGTCGGCCGAAAAAGAAAAGACAAAAATGATAGCTCTCTGATATTTCATCGAGCACTTGGCAGCCATGGTCCTCGCCCGCGACTGCGGTGGCCAAACGCGCCAGAGGAGGAGGTGTAGGGGTGGCCGAAGCAGGGCTACAATCCATTGAATGGGAAGAAGGTGATATGGGTGTCGACATGGCCTTCTTTGGTGCCGCCTCGGTGAGCGCCTTCGTCGGCTTCCTCACCTGCTTGCCAGCGGTCGGAGCAATGGGATGGCGTTCGGGCATCATCGTGGGCGCTAGGGCCTTCCCACCGGCTTTTAATGTCGGCGCGACGGTACGGAGCAAGTTATTTTTGCCCCCAACCTCTTCCTTCGTGAGCGACGACAAAGGGGTCGATTCCAGCGGCGTCGAGCCGACGAGGTCATGGAGTCGGCTTCCAATTTTCTGTCTGGTGGATGTTATTTTTGGTGTATGTGGTGTTTTCACACACTAGCTCATTATTTGTCAGTTACTTTTGGAGTTTTGGTGATAGTTCAGTTCATCGATTTTTCTATAGGACATGATACGCCTCCGCCGAACGATCTTTTTAAAAGATCAGCCTGGTCGCTAGCCGTCAGATCCCACGCTATCAAGCGCCCGAGCTTCGTTCTACACATTGCAACAGAGGTAATGTTGCAGAATATTTTGAAACAAAGGTCGTGTTGCAAAAACTTTTTCAATCCTCCCTCACCACTCCTCCCAGCCGCACGAGTCTCCACCTGCCGCGGGATCTAGTCAGATAGCTGCAAACTCTTTTTTCTGAAACAAAGCATGAGTTGCAGAAACGTGAACATTAAGGGGATGTTCTCGACCGTCTGATCAAGAGTCAATCTGACGAACACGGAGACGGCGGAAGGTAAGTGTTTTCTTTTTTTAGTTATTAAATATAGGTTTAGAGGACATTCGCACAGAAAAAAAAAAGGTTTACAGGAGGCACCACTCCCCAAGATCCAGAACCTCTCCGTCGCGGCGGTTGGCGGGCGGCGGGCGACGGCAAAACCTAGCGCTCCATCCCGGTTCCGACCTCCCCGTTCGTTCCCCAGCCGCGTTGGGCCGCGAGGGGTGACTGTTGGCGAGGAGCTGCGGGCGAATTGTTGACGCCAAATCTTCCGTCCGGCCATGGAGGCTGCGGGCGCAGCTGTGGCTGCGGCGGCGGCGGCGGCCGAATCCGATGGAACCGCAGAGAAGCGGGCACGGAGTGGCGACTGCGACGACACCGCCGACGATTTCATCAGCAGTCTCCCCGACGCCGTCCTCGGCACCATCGTCTCCCTCCTCCCCACCAAGGACGGCGGCCGCACGTGGGTCCTCTCCCGCCGATGGCGCCACCTCTGGCGCTCCGCGCCTCTCAACCTCGAGGTCAGCACCCGACCCCCCGACGCCGCCGCCGCCGCCGACAGCCCCGTCCCCACCCCCTCACGCGTCCCGCCCTCCGCCGTCTCCGAGATAATCTCCAAACACCCTGGCCCCGCACGCCGATTCTCCCTCCACTGCCGCGGCGACGACGACCACTGCCCCCAGGCGGAGAGCTGGCTTCGCTCCCGCGCCCTCGCCAACCTCCAGGAGCTCGATATCTGCTACGCTGAACCCCCGCTGCTGACACCGGTTCTCCGCTCTGCATCCAACATCCTTGTCGCCAAGATCAGCCATTGTGATTTCGAGCCGGCCATGATCAATTTCCCCTTCCTCAAGAAGCTCTCCCTGTTTCGCCTTACCATCTCAGCGGACCTCTTCCCCAGACTGTTATCTGGCTGCCATGCCTTGGAGATCTTATCCATGACCAAAGTTCGTGCTGTGGGTTGTCTCTGTCTTAGCTCGCCGACCATTAGGACCATCATCTTCCGTCATAGCTACGGTGAAACCGTGGAACTGGTCATCGAGGATGCTCCTCGCCTTGTAAGGTTACTAGTACCTTATTGTGAGAGAAATGATAGTGTGACTATCAGGGTAACTAGGGCGCCTAATCTGGAGATATTGGGCCCTTTCTTTGTCGTCGACTCCAAGCTCCTACTCTTCCAGGTAGGGTCAGCGCCATCTTCGAATCTTTCTGTCAGCATTCATACACGGAGATAATAATTTTGATGTTCATTGTTTGTTTTCTTCAGGGAATAAGCCCAGTCAGCTCCACAAACTCGATGCACACCTTGAAGGTTTTGGCTCTCAAGTCTTCTGGGCAGAAATTGAATGCAGTTCTTAACATCCTTAGGGGGTTCCCCTGTTTAGAAAAGCTTTGTGTTATTGTGAGTAATCATCTTTACTTTCTTGAAATGTTTAATTGGGTTGACATACTATAAAATTCTAGTTTGCAACAGCTTTGACATATGCCTCTCCTCCTTGTTTTGCAGTTTCATACAAACCGTGAGAGGAATGACGAAAATGAGCCCCAGTATGACCCACTACATCCAATCGAATGCCTTGAGACCCGTCTAAAAAAAGTGGTGTTTAAGTCATTTGAGGGCTATGGCAAACAGGTTGACTTTGCGAAGTTCTTTGTATTGAATGCAAAGGTGCTAGACAAAATAGAATTTGAAGTAAGAAATCAGTACAGCAGTGAGACAGTGGCTTATGAACACAGGCTGCTACAAGTGGAAAACAGAGCTTCCCGGGAGGCTCGGGTTGAATTCAGGACTACTAAATACTGACAGAGTACCATGTCAACAAGCGGATCCATGATTTGTCAGTGGCCGACCCCTTCAGACAGCCGTAGACATCGTTGATGCCTGAAGATTGCACTGTCTTGTGCTCATTTTGTAAATGGCGTCGATGCCTGAAGATTGCATTGTCTTCTGCATAAGTCTGCTCTATTTCTAGTCTAAAGTTCCTCTATAATAATTCCAGTAACTTCTGAAGTTACCCCTGTTAAAACAGAAAAAGATGGTTTTGGATGTAAAAATTGTGCACTTTGGGAAATTTCTGATGGGGAGGAATGCAGAAATATTACTGCCGAAAGTTGTAACCGGAGGGAGCTGGTAGGTGATAACCCCATCTGCTGAAACTACTCACATCGCCTTACCCTTGCCCTATGCAATTGTGGCTTTGTTCTGCCTAAGCTGGTCTAGAAACATGTGACTGTGTGGGAAACTTAATTGTCCTTTCAGCTATAAACAAAAGCATGAGATATTTCATTTCTGACTTGATTTTATTTTTTTGCGTACACAGAACACTTGTTTGGTACTTACAAAAGGTCAACCTGTAGACTAAGAAAGAGAGGTTTATGTTATTATCAAGGTATGCTATCAGCTTGAAGTTTTGCTGATTACCAAGGTTGTAATTGTGGCTAGTGCTGCAACAGCCACAATGTCTCCCTCTGACTGCATCTGTAACATGCTTCTGTTGCATACCGATTGACTTGTTACTAAAGTTTGAGCTTCTACTGAAATGAAATCGATTGTCATCTTGTCTTGTACAAACTTGCAAGTAATTTTACTTCATGGAGCAAGAAAAGCATTGGATTGGGCTAAGGACCTGAAAGTAATGTTGGCTTTGGCAGTGGCAGGGATCCTTGTGTGTACTGCTTAATGCTTGTCAACTTGTTTTCTGCATAAAACTGTGTGTGGTTCCGAGCCAATATCCTTGTTGCCAATATCAGCCATACACCGAGACAAGGTCGACGGCTTAATCCTATGTTAGGGTCTTATGGGAAGGTGGCCGCACTAGTTGAGGAGCGTCTTGATTAATGGTTCAGATCAAGCTTCATATATATTGTTGGGTCTTTTACATTTGTGTCCCTAACTCGAACCCACTACTCAGATTTGCCCCTAATTTCGAAGCATGCTCAAATTTTTCCCTCTGCCGTTATGTGCCATTACAGAAATGCCCTTCCGTGCCATTTCCGTCTGGTCAAAGGGCTTTGACCGTTCTCCTGACGTTTAATGGACTTTTTTGCCCCTCTATGCACATGCCACTTACAAGTGGGACCTACCCCACGAAAAAGAAGTCTCTTTCTCTCATCCCCTCTCTGACTTACACATGGACCCCACCAATATAAAAATAACTCTCTTCCTCTCTCAGAATCTCTCTCTCCCTGACATGGCGAGGCTTGGCGGCTCGACCGGTGGCCCTCGCCGGCGAGGACCAACGTGCCTGCGCGTGAGGACCACAGTGGCAGGCTCGGGGTGGTCCGGGGAGGGGGTGGAGCCGCCGCCCGCAGCTATCGCCGGAGCTATCATCGGAACTACATCCTGAGACCGCGTGAGATCTTCTGCCGACGACGCCATTGCTAGCCACCGCGGCCGGAGTCCAAATCGAGCAACACGAGCATGTCCATGAGCTTTGGCAGGTGCCTCTCCTTCACCCTGCACAGTGGATCTAGCCTGTGGCTTCCCGTAGACGATGACCGGGACGTCGAACTCTGCCATGGCCGTCGCTCTTCCCGTCCTAAATTCGGCCGCTCTAAGCCGTTCTTAACCTACCCGACCCCTGTTCTGTCGTCGAGGAAAGCAGGTGCCCTTACTCCCATCTTCTCCCGCCCGATTCCGTGCCCGGAGCCCCCTGACAGAATCCGGCCGCCATGACCAACCTCGGTTGGCTCGGTCGTGCACGCGCCATCTCCACCCTGCCGCTCCTAGTGAGCTTGGCGCGTCTCGTGCAACTTGCATGCCTCGTGCAGGAAGCGCCGTCCCCCCACGGCCATCCTCCTCCCCTACGGCGAGCCGCCGGCGAGCGCAGGAGCTCACGGCCAGGAACGAGTGGACCGGGGGTGTTGACCCTCACATTGGGTCCCATTGGGAGGATAAGGATGAGAGAGAGTTTTTTTTGTTTTTTCCTGGGTAGGTCCCACCGGTAAGTGACTGACCCACAGGAGGGCTGAGTTGGCCTAGTTTTTCTTTTATTTTTTTAGAGCGGGTCCCACATGTAAGTGTCACATGGATTCAGGGGCAAATTGTCTGACTAACGTCCAGAAAACGGTCAAAGCCCTTTGACCAGACGGAAACGGCACTGAAGGGCATTTCTGTAATGGCACATAACGGCAGAGGGGCAAATTTGAGCATGCTTCAAAGTTAGGGGTATATCTGAGTAGGTGGTTCGAGTTAGGGACAAAAATGCAAATGGCCCTATATTGTTAGGGTGTGCGTGCAGGAACATGCCCAGGAACCAATTCCTGGGTGTATATACACCTGATATGCAAAACACACACACACACACACACAAAAGTTTAGAATTTTTTTAAAACAAACTTGACTTTTGGTTGCAGTAGTATATAATTTTTCAGGAATAAAAAAACCGCATTGATAACGTTTATTGCTATTATAGGTCACTATTCGCATTATTTTGGTCAATTTTTTTTGTTTCTTTAAAGAAGTCAATTGGGATTTTTCTTTTTGTGGATTTTTTGTACAAGTACAATGAAAGGTTCAATTTCTAACAAAAATATTTGCTTTTTTCTATTTTAATTCAATTACTATTTTTTGTACTTCATATAGGGTGTATATACACCCATAGACCAAACTTTCATGTGCTTTGCGTGCATATGTTCATAGAAGTGAGTGTATATGTGTGTATGTGGGCATTTAATGCGTGTCATGCTGCCCCTTCTGTCACTAGGAAAGAACACCGCAAGATCAAACCCATCACAAAGCACCTCTTTCTATGGCAAGAAAAATCGTTCTAATTGCCTAACTAAACCAAAGATTCCAAAAAGAAACACGAGGCTATAAATAATCATGCATATAAGATATCAAAGAAGACTCAAATAATATTCATGAATATAGATCTAATCATAAACTCAAAGTTCATCGGATCTCCACAAACACGCCGCAAAAAGAGTTACATCAAATAGATCTTCAAGAAACCATTGTATTAAGAATCAAAAGAGAGAGAGGAAGCCATCTAGCTACTGCCTACGGACCCTTAGGTCTATGGTGGACTACTCACGCATCAATGGAGGGGCACCAATGAGGATGATGAACCCCTCCATGATGGTGTTAGATTGGATCTCGTGGTTCTGGAACTTGCGGTGGCTGGAATTCTTTTTCTTCGACTCCCCTAGGGTTTCTGAAATATTTGGGAATTTATAGGGCGAAGAGGTGGTGCAGGGGGGCTACATGGGGGGCACAACCCCCCTGGCTGCATGCAGGTGGATTGTGCTCCCCACGGGCCTCCCCTCTGGTACTTTCTTGGCCCGCAAGGTGTCTTCTAGTCCAGAAAAATCTCCAAAAAGTTTCGCTGCGTTTGGACTTCGTTTGGTACTGATATTCTGCGAAGTAAAAAACAAGCAAAAAACAACAACTGGCACTGGACACTATGTCAATAGGTTATTCCCAAAAAATGATATAAAGTTGCTATAAAATGATTGTGAAATATCCAAGAATGATAATATAACAGCATGGAACAATAAAAAAATTATAGATATGTTGGAGACGTATGAGCATCCCCAAGCTTAATTCTTGCTTGTCCTCGAGTAGGTAAATGATAAAAACATAATTTTTGATGTGGAATGATGCCTAACATGTTCATCACATATTTTTTTCTTTTGTAGCATGGACATTTGGACTTTCATATGGTTCAAAGCAATAGTCTAGTTTTGACATGAAGATTTCAATACTCAAGCATATAAACAAGCAACCATGTCTTTAAAAATATCAACACTAAAGGAAGTTATCCCTAGCCCATCATGCTCAATCATTGATCCGTTCATGAAACACACTCGTATATTAGCTACATCCAATGCTCAAGTATGATCATAGTGCTCCCTAGTTGGTGCTTTATAAGAGAAGATGGAGACTCAAATAAAAATAAAAATTGCATAAAGTACATAGATAGGCCCTTCGTAGAGGAAAGTAGGGATTTGTAGAGGTGCCAGAGGTCAAAGCTTAAATTGAGAGATTTTTTTTGAGAGGAATACTTTTCCTGTCAACGAAATCGACCGAGTAATTCTCAACACTTTCCATGCTAGATATATCAAAGGCGGTTCCCAAACATAAAATAAAGTTTATTCCTTTTCCGCCATTCTTTCACATTCCACGGCTAGCCGTATCCACGAGCACCGTCCATACCAACACTTTCCAATGAATTTATTATTTGACAACATAAAAGTAAATTTCTTGTTCATTTCGGGACCGGGCATCCCTATTACCGTTGTACTCTCGTACAATGAAAAGTGAATAAACACTCATCTTGAGAATAACACATCTAGCATGGAAAATATTGGTCACCCCCTGCCGCTTCATGAGCATTATGAGCACACAAAAAGGGAATTCATTTTGAAAATTAGAGATGGCACATACAAATTTTCTTACAGCGACATAGAAATACCGCATATAGGTAGGTATGGTGGACTCATATGGTGAAACTGGGTTTAAAGATTTTGGGTTGCACAAGTAGTATTTCTACTTAGTACAAGTGGAGGCTAGTAAATAGATTGAAAGCAACCAACCAAGAAACGAAAAATCATAGAAGCTAGCATTAAGCATAACTAACATCGAATGATGCACCATAAGTAGGATGTAATTTCATTGCATAACTATTGACTTTCGTTCTTGCATAGGGAATCACAAACTTTAACACCGGTATTCTTACTAAAGCATAATTACTCAACAACATGACTCACATATCACTATCATCATATCTCAAAACTATTACAAATAATCAAGTTTATTTTGTCCAATGATCTTCATGGAAGTTTTTATTATATCCCTCTTGA